TCACAGCCAATGTCAATCAACTGTACTGACTCCCTTTTCAGCAAGAATGTTCCATCCTTCCTTTTAAACATTATCTCATCACTGTATAAAAGCACATCACAACAGGACGGATGGTTTACTTTAATTTATGACATCAAACAATAGGTTACCACAACAAAACCATAGCTTACCACATCTTTCCATATGGTAATAAGTAAAACACACCAGCTTACCACATCTTACCATATGGTAATAAGTAAAATAGAACAGGAGTTATGGTTTAATCCATTCTTTAACAACAAACCTTAGCTTACCACATCATACCATATGGTATTAAACTAAAACAAAACAGGACTTGTGCATTACTACATTTTGTAACATTAAACCATAGATTTATCTAATTTTACCATATCTTACCATATTTTACCATATGGTAACAAACTAGATCACTACAGTAAAATCATATAACAGTAGAAGTTTTAAGATGATGACTTACCTCTTGACAAATTTCTTGTTTTTGCATCTTATGTACTCCATGATGTTGCTGAACATATCATCAGGTGTTGTTTGTGTTGGTGTTGACCATTCAACTGGTGATTTTTGTGATTGTGGAGCAACTGGTTCGACAGTTGGAGAATTCAGGTCCTCTAGGTAAGCATCTATGCATTCACGGACTTCCTTGAGCTTCTCTTGGCTGTTTGTGTACAGATTTGACCATATAGCATATGACGCCGTCTGTGACTGGGTGCTTTGTGGCTGTGCTGGTGGTGGTGTTGTTCTTGCCTTCTTTTCATATACATTCAAATTCTTCACCACGATTCTTCTTTTGCGAGGCTCTCCTGGTTGATCGGTTGCCGTGTTGGTAGTCAACTTCGTTGGTGTTGTTGGTGTTTGACGGTTGAGAGGGCTGAGATCAAAGGATGGAATGTCGTCTTCCCTTGTCACTTTAGGCTTCTCGGCAGCTTCGGTTGTCAGTTTTGGAGCCTCTTCTCGAACAACATCATCTGACACCGTTTTCTCGCTGTCAGTTTCTGCAGTCTTTTGCGCAGCTTGCCCTGTATTCCCTTCTTCTGTTGTTTCCTTATCAACTTCCATTGGATCTGCTGTTTTGGTAGCTCCTTTTTCTCCTGTTTCTTTTGCAGATGTCTGTTCTGGAACTGCTTTCGGGGTGTCCTCTTGTTGTGGTGTTCCCTGATTCAGACCTCTTGAACAGATTGTTCTGGTGGTTCTGTTGCAACTTCACCCAGTGGACCTCCTTCTTTTGGGATGCTTTCCCTATTCACAGCTCATGGATCAGAATCATCTTGCTCCTTTTCTTTTGGCTTCGGTGTAGATGCAGCAAGATCGACTGTAGATGGTTGTGAATCATCTTCTTTCTGTGTTTGCTCCTCGTTCTCCTCTTTGTTCTGGTCTATCTTTGCCTGTTTGAATATTTCATTGAGTGTTTTATTCAAACTGGCATTCATTTCTTCATCATTCTCTTCTTCATCATCTTCACACTGAAATTTTTCTCCTTCTGTTGGCTGAACATTTTCATCACAGCTTTCTTTCGCAAGATTCTCCTTGTGTCTGATCAGATTGTCAATTTGGCTTTTGTACTGGTCTTTGATTGCTTTCATCATTGCCTTCATTGATGCTTCAAGCAGTTTGATTGCATTCTCAGCCTGCATAATGGGAGTTTTTGTAAGATACCATGGTGGTAATGTGTGTATGGTGTATGGTTAGTTACCATGGTGGTAATACATGGTATTGGCAATTATAATCACTATTCTGCATTTTTATAACATGAAACTATATCTTACCACACCTTGCCATATGGTAACAAAGTAAAACAGAACAAGAATTATGGTTTCCTCCATTTTTATAACATGAAACCATTGCTTACTACACATTACCATATGGTAACGTATTAAAACACAACAGGACTTATGTTTTCCTCCATTTTTATAACATGAAACCATAGCTTACCACACCTTACCATATGGTAACAAACTAAAACACAGTAGGACTTGTTGTTTTTTGCTATTTTTAAAACATGAAAGCATAGCTTACCACACATTACCATATGGTAACAAAGTAAAACAGAACAAGAATTATGGTTTCCTCCATTTTTATAACATGAAACCATTTGCTTACCACACATTACCATATGGTAACGAAGTAAACCACAACAGGGCTTATGTTTTGCTCCATTTTTATAACATGAAACCATAGCTTACCACACCTTACCATATGGTAACAAACTAAAACACAGAAGGACTTACGCTTAGTATGAATTGGACAACTGTAATATAGATAATTTGTACTTACTTGGTTGACTGTTCTGATATTCTTCAAATCAAAGTTCAGTGATGATGACTGGTCTGGACTTTTGTTTCTTTGTCTTTTCGGTGATTCATAGACTGGCTCTTTCTCCTCTTCCTCATCAGCTGCATCATCAGCCTCATCGTCACTAATGTTGGCAAGCTTTTCGATCTCGTTCAACTCTTTTCCATTGTAGTAGCTCTTAATGTTCTCAAAGTTGCTATCAACATTGTTATCATCATAGTAGCTTACTGTTGGTGTTCGAAGCTGGGTTGAGAATGCCATTTCGTCCAGTTTGTACATGAAGCATACCTTTTTATGCAGATAGTTGTATTAGTTTTTTCAAAGAGTATCATTTATATATAAAATATATGAGTAACAAGGTTGAAATGGCCAAGGAATGGAGACTTACTGTAAGGAAGTGAAGATCTACACTGACATAGAGGTTTGGTGATTTCAATCCTTCATTCATGTGTTTGAAGAAGTATTTGCACCAGTTGTAGCTGGTGAAATGTTTCAGTTCTTCAGTCTTCAAGTACTCAAGCATGTTGAGTTCAGCCATAGGTGCTGAAGTTGGACACAGCAAGCCTCCGGTGACCAGCAGAAAGAACAATTGCATCCATCTCTTAGTCAGTGTGGTTGTAGGAAGATCTTTTTCTACCTGACTTAGCTTTACCCTTGGAGTGGATGTTCCATCTACTTCGAGTAGGGTTTCTATTGCATAATCTGCTGCGTCATCCCAAGAAATCGTGGGAGGTACAACTTCCCTATTCCCCATCGGCAGACCATATACTCTATGAAAGTCGATTGGTGATATCTTGATGTGTGTCCCGTCAGGTAACTTGAACGATTCTTTCTTTGGATTGTATTTGTTCATTACGAACAGTGCAAAATGGTTGTTTATCTTTGTCTGCTTGATTGATATTAAGCCTGCTAGGCCTAATATCTCAAGTTGCTCTTTCCGCTCATCTGTTATTGACCTTGCAATTGCAGAAATTCTTGTTGGGCTGCACCTTGTGCGAAAACTGTGTCTTGGTTTTACCATAGTGTACCTGAATGTAGAAATTAGTAATAGTCTGTTAGTATGCTTTTTACCATAATATACCATATGGTACCATAATGGTTTTCTACCATACCAAATCAAACCATATATTTATCTCATTTTACCATATGGTAATTACATCAAATCATGTCTTATAACATATTACCATATGGTAACGAAGTAAAACACAACAGGACGTATGTTTTCCTCCATTTTTATAGCATGAAACCATAGCTTACCACACATTACCATATGGTAATAAACTAAAACACAGCAGGACTTATGGTTTTTTTGCTATTTTACAACATCAAACTATGTCTTATAACATATTACCATATGGTAACGAAGTAAAACACAACAGGACGTATGTTTTCCTCCATTTTTATAGCATGAAACCATAGCTTACCACACATTACCATATGGTAATAAACTAAAACACAGCAGGACTTATGGTTTTTTTGCTATTTTACAACATGAAACCATAGCTTACCACACATTACCATATGGTAACAAACTAAAACACAGCAGGACTTATGGTTTTTTGCTTTTTTACAACATGAAACCATAGCTTACCACACATTACCATATGGTAACAAACTAAAACACAGAAGGACTTATGGTTTTTTGCTATTTTACAACATGAAACCATAGGTTACCACACATTACCATATGGTAACAAACTAAAACACAGAAGAACTTATGGTTTTTTGCTATTTTACAACATGAAACTATAGCTTACTACACATTACCATATGGTAACAAACTAAAACACAGAAGGAGTTACGGTTTCTTGCCTTTTTATAACGTGCAATCATAGCTTACCACGCCATACCATGTGGTAACGAAGCAAAACACAACAGATTCTACACCAGTTCAGCAATGCATGCTAACGATTCGGTAATGTAGCGAGTTTTACTACAATTTTCACATGAAGAGTGACTGAAATACTGTTTCTATTGTTCTATGGATGGATTTCGAAGAAAGAAGTGAGGTTTTACATTGATATTTTGTGCGAAAACGATTTTTGAGCCTCGTTGAAGTTGGAAACCCTTCGTTTTTCGACGAAGAAGCGAGAACACTGTATCGTTGAATGATTCTTCGAAAAGCTTTGCGAAAATCGTTCGATTTGAAGTTTTTTTCTGGAAGTTTTTGCTGCGATTTTGGTGAGAGAATTGAGGATCGGGAGGAAGAATGGAGAGTTAGAGAGCAGAGGGAAGTGGAACTGTCGCTTGAAAGGTGAGAGAAAGAAGGAGAGAAGGCGGGACGGTTGTCGCTGTCACGTCTGCAATTCAAATTGTCAGAGACGTGATTACCTTTTTGCCCCCGCGTGTATTTAATTGGCATGATCTGACGGCTGGGAAGATGGCGCGATGGACGGTCAGATGGACGGTTACTGACCGTTACTGATAGGTCGGTTACTGATAGGATCCGGACCCGTAACAATATTGTGCTCTGGATGGATTGATTGATGTTGTTTAATTCCCCTAGCCAATACAAGAAATATTGCTAGGTAAGAGCTAGTTTTGAAAGGAGAATAATTTTTGGGACTAATTTAACAACAAAGAATAATTTGGGCATCCTAGTTGTAATTATATTTTCTGTTCTGTACACTACTACACTCTGTTTCTCCGATCCTGTAGGCTGTAATCCTGTTCCAGTCCAAAAAATCCTAATCCCCGAAAGCCACCCGTCCAGTGGCTATAACCAGACCCCGGTAATGGCCGCCGCCGCCGCCTTTGCGCCGGCCACGACCACTCTCCGGTTCAGCTCTTACTCAACCCTACGCTTCTTCAAAACAAGTTATAGGTTCCGTCTGCTGCCACCCAATCCCGATGTTTTCCTTCCAAAAATTCAATTCCATTGCGCTTCGCTCCCGCTCTGCGGCGGGGAATTTGGTAAGAGGCACTTTTGTAGTGTGGTTGCCGCGGCCCTTCAGCATTCCGGGGATAGGGTGGCTGCCGCCGATGCTGTGGAGCAGCCGGCGGGAGGATTAGGGAACAGAGTTGGGGAGTTCAGGAAGAAGTTGAAGATTGCCGATGTGAAAGGCGGTGCTAATGAAGGTTTGGACCGTGTGGGTCAGAATGTGGTTTTGATGGGTTGGATTAGGACACTTCGGTTGCAGAGCAGCGTCACATTCATGGAGGTAAAGGTTTGAGCTTTGACACATGGGTAATGGCTTTTTGAAGCAATTCAGTGATGGAGAACTGAATTTTGTTTCTAGGTTAACGATGGTTCTTGCTTGTCGAACATGCAATGCGTACTGAACCCAGAAGCTGAAGGCTATGATCAGGTATTAAGATGGAACTGTAAACTATGATCCCTAGAATTATCCAATGTGCTGTGTGCAAGCTAGTAGCAACTGTTTGATTGGAATTGCTCACTATTGTGCTCTATTATGCGCAGTTCCGCTGCAAGTGACATGTAATCTTAGTTCGGTGTCGCTTATGTTAGAGATTGATATTTTAATCGCAGGTAGAGTCTGGTTCCATAGCTACTGGTGCGTCATTATGTGTACAAGGAACTATAGTTGAGAGCCAGGGGTCGAAGCAGAAAGTGGAACTGAAGGTCAACAAAATTGTACTGGTATGCTACGTGACTAGACTACAGAAGCAGTTCATGCTTTGCTTAATGAATAACACCTCCGCTCTACTGTTACACTCACAATGTTCATTAAATAGGTTGGCCAGAGTGATCCATCATATCCAATGCAGAAGAAAAGAGCCACCAAAGAATTTCTGAGAACAAAAGCTCATCTTCGTCCTAGAACAAACACATTCAGTGCGGTATGTTTCTTCTGCTTAATTATGAATCAGTATGTGTAGAGACTGAGTTTTTCAAGTCCACTGTTGTTTAGCACCCAAAGAGAGAGTGATTTGTGATTTCTTATGGTTGGGAGTAATGAAGTTCATTTTCTCCCTTCTTCTATAAAGTCCTGAACCGATGTTTATGATTTTGGAATGACGGAAATTTGTTTAGGTTGCACGGGTGAGGAATGCTTTAGCATATGCTACCCACAAGTTTTTTCAAGAAAATGGGTTTGTTTGGGTCTCGAGTCCTATCATCACAGCCTCGGATTGTGAAGGAGCTGGTGAACAGTTCTGTGTAACTACATTGGTATGCTCCTCATCCTTCTTAGCTATCTCATCATTCTTCATTGTTCATTTGGCTGTTTACTCTAAATTGCTGCTGTGATCTTGTGTTAATGCGCAGATTCCGAGCTCTCAAGAAGTGACTGAATCACCTGTAGATGGCATTCCCAAGACAAAGGATGGATTGATTGATTGGTCGCAGGTGAGTTTCTATAAGCTTTTCTCTGATGGTACATCTTTACTATTCGGATCACATTCCTGTATAAACTTTCTCAATAGCTAGCCAATGAATTTATCCTTTTCAATCCATAGTTTAGCTTCTTGCACTAAATGTAATTATGCCTCTATTGTAATGACTATCGTTCTTGTTCAGGACTTTTTTGGAAAACCGGCATTTTTGACAGTGTCTGGCCAGCTCAATGCTGAAACATATGCTACTGCTCTCTCAGATGTAAACTCTCTCAACATGTTTTTGTTAGTGAATTAGACCATTCATATTGTCACCTTAATATTTCTCTCTTTTTCTCATGGTATACATTTTCTCAGGTATATACATTTGGTCCAACATTTCGTGCAGAGAACTCCAACACTTCTAGACACTTGGCAGAGTTTTGGGTAAAACCATTATTTTTTCGGTTCTCCTTTTGATAATCTTAATTACCATTCTCATTTGTGTGTTTGAACGTCTTATAACCTCCAGTCTATTTTGTCTAATTAAGATGATTGAACCAGAACTTGCGTTTGCGGATCTTAATGATGACATGGCTTGTGCAACTGCCTATCTCCAGTATGTAGTATGTCCCTTTTTCCAAATCTTCATTGGGTGTCACGAAATGCAAAATACATGCATCCTGCTTTGAGTAACCAATGGATGCCTTCTGTATTTGTGTGGCAGGTGAGACATATCCTTGAAAATTGTAAGGAGGACATGGAATTTTTCAATACTTGGATCGAGAAGGGGATCATTGATCGCTTAACAGTATGAGCTCTCAATTCTAGGTTATCTTATTTTAACCTTCCTGTGAATATAACATCTAAATTGATGCTTGATCTACAGGATGTGGCTGAAAAGAAATTTGTGCAGTTGACATACACTGATGCAATTGAACTTCTTCTTAAAACAGATAAGAAGTTTGAATTTCCGGTACATTTAAAGTTTCTCTGCTGACTTAGTCCTATCAAATCTCAGTTATGAAACTGGACTTAGAATGGGTTTGTTGGTGTGGTTTGTAGGTGGCATGGGGATGTGATTTGCAGAGTGAGCATGAGCGCTATATAACTGAAAAAGCATTTGGCGGATGCCCTGTCATAATTAGGGACTACCCAAAGGCTCGTGTTTTAACTTTCCGGCTCTTCTCTTCTGCCTTATGAAAGAAGAAAAATCATTATTTGGTATTCACACAATCTTTCCTCACTTCTTCCAGGAGATCAAGGCATTTTATATGCGTCAAAATGATGATGGAAAAACTGTAGCTGCCATGGATTTGTTGGTTCCTCGGGTAATAAATCATTACTTTATCACATACGCTGCACCCACTTCTTCTCCCTGCATCATGTTTGATGAAAAAGGAACCTTCTTGCTCCAGTGCCTTCAAGGGCACTCTATTAGGCATTGAACTATTTGTTATTTACGTACAGAATTTTCGTTTTTTATATATATTGTGGTCAGATCGGGGAGCTGGTTGGCGGAAGCCAAAGAGAAGAACGGCTTGGATATCTAGAAGATCGTTTGGAGGAATTGAAGCTCAACAAGGAGAGCTACTGGTGGTACCTCGATTTGCGGCGTTATGGTTCAGGTTGGTTGCTTGATGATGTTGTTAAGTGCAGTGTACATAGAGAGGGTATTGATGGGTTATGAACCAGTACTTCACTTTTCTGTTACGGTTGCAGTTCCTCATGCCGGGTTTGGAGTTGGATTTGAGAGGCTAGTGCAGTTCGCCACTGGACTAGACAATATCAGAGACACCATACCATTCCCTCGGTCGCCTGGCTCGGCCGAGTTCTGATTTGAGTAAAGAGTTTGACAATACAAGGTTCATTACGAATAAAAGATCCCAGAGTTAAAATACTCATTCTTGTGCTGTTTCATGTACATTACCACTTGTTTCAGGATTTCATTCTAACGCGGTTCTTGGTCCACTGCGATAATTTAATGGCCACTTCCTGTAAGATGGAAAAAGGCAAGTATTTTTTGTTGTTGTTAACAGTTGTTAGTTGTTACCCGTGTTAACTGTAAGGACCTAGAAGACGAAATGACTAACCCGATTTTGTCGTTTAGTTCTGATTTGTCTTGTAATGCGTCCCAATGTAAATGAGATTATGAGAAACAATGTGGGCCAAAACTACCAGTCTACCACTGTTTTAAAAAAAAGTTACAAAAATACCATTCATTTCCAAAAATTTCCAAATCTACCACTGTTTATTAAATATCGCTCTACTCAGGGGCGGTTAAAATAGAAACCGCCCACCCAGGCGGCTTCATGGCTGCCCTAGCACAAACTGCTTCCTCAAGGAGCGGTTATGTGTCGGCATGGAAAAACGCTCCACAGGGAAGCGGTTTACCATGTCGACACATAAATCGCTCCCCCTCCCAACGGTTTGTGCCTCATCACCCGACATCTGACATGTCGACAAGCAGGAGGTTGCAGGGGTGGGGGCTGTATGCGCAGCGGTTAGCAATCCACGACGTGGATCGCTCCGCTGGCAGGCGGTTAGCCGTCATATCGCCTGCCCATCGTGCGGTTGCATGGCCACGTGGAAACGCGGTTTGGCAGCTGCCCAATGGCAAACCGCACGTTGCCCACGCGGTTTGAATGAGAACCGCGCCTTTGAGGCGCGGTTTACGGGGGATGGTGGTAGATTTGGAAATTCTTGGGAATGGGTGGTATTTTTGGAAAAAAAAATTTTAACAGTGGTAGTTTTGGATTTTTCCTCCTATTTAGTGTATTCTCATTAGCAATGCGGTAAAAAAGCTGATTGTACGTGGAAATTGTTTTGGCAATTTAGAAGTACAAAATCGTAAAATTTTAAACTTTAAAATGTGATTTTTAAAGCGCAATTTGAACTATATTAATCATGAGTGGATAACTAGCAAAAAGCTACGCAAGCCAACAATTTTGTTTAGGAATGACAAGACTGTAATCTCAGTATTCATACTCACTTTGTATTGAGCATAGGTCAAATCTCCAGACCATAAGCCTTCATGAGACTACAAATTTGGGGTTATAAGAAAATTGGCAGTCACAACAGACATTGAAGCCTCTGTTAACTCCACAATGGAATAAAGTAAAACTACAAAATTCTGAACTATATATAGCAGGAAGTTAAGAATACATATATTGAAAAAAATAGAAGAAACAAGGCGTTTTATTTTGTGTCAAATAAGTACACCAATTCCATTTTCCCCCACCCTTTTCTTTCTCCGCTTGAGAAGGATCTTTCAGGAAGAGAGCTCCCTATCTTGTTCTACCTATCCTTAATTTTCTCTTTTGGTCTCCCCCTGTTTTTTCAACAAATCAACAAATCAAACTGTACAACTTTCTTGGATCCCTCTCCTCTTCTTCCACAAGGGTTACAACAGACTCAGCAGTCTGCCACCAAAGCCCTCCCCAAAGCTTCTCGTCTTCTTCGCATATTCAAAGAGGAAAATACCAAAAGGCCATATATGCTTTCTAAGATTACAGAAAATTGGAAATGCTTAGTTCCCTAACTGAACATTAGGACGGGGACAAAGAAGACCGTGTGGAATTCTTCAAAAACCATACTTTCATATGCTTCTTGTGCTTCACGTATTAGTGCTCTTACACAGAGCCTTTGCAGTAGTCCCTGCATGGTCTGATCGCGATAAACAAAACTTGGATGTCTTATGAACCTCCCAGCTGATGCCTTGTCACTCAAAGTTCAACTTCCTGGAGATCGCCAAAGCTGCCTCCATTTGTTGGCATCTGAGGCGTCGAAGGGTCACTACCTGGCATCAAAGGAGGGCCTGCTGGCAGTGGCATGCCGAGAGAAGGTTTTATCTCTGTTGTGGCCCTTGGCGGGCTGAACGACGGATTGAAAGTACCACTCCAAGATGCCGTTCGTCGAGATAGAGATTGGGGTGCACCACCATTGACATTTAAGCCGCCAACTCTCCCTCCTTTGGCAATGTTGTCCATGCTTGGGAACCTTTGCATGGAAGATGTCATAGGAGGCTGGAAAGGTGACGAAGAAGCTGTGGGAGGAGACTGAAAAGAATCATTCATGGTCATGGAGGATGTTGAAGGCATCTCACTTGCTGCTACTTGAGCATTGTTTTGCACATTTTCTGCCGCCACAGATTCAGCCAACAAATTATCGGCAGAAGGAGCAGGTGAAGGAACAAAGAACTTGGTGTTCATGGAGACAGCAGGTTTGGGAGCTGGTATTGGTGATGAGTGGAACGCGTTTGCTGCTGCGCCTCCACCACCTTGGTTGAAGGTGTCCACATACCTGTCCAAGCGGGATTATTACACTCAGCAGCTATTCTGGATTGAACTTCTAGGTGCAAGAATGGAAAGATAGACTGGATCAAAATGGTCTTATTTCCAACTCTACCTCGCTCGTACGCCCATTCTTCCACGGGCTGAAAATTGATTTGAGCTGGTGGGAATAGGAGGGATGCCTGAACTATGTTCTTGCATAACTGAACTCCGGAATTTGGGGCTCCCACTAGATGGAGAACCCTCGCTCTTCAGTGCAGATTTCAGGTTATAGTCCGAGGTTCCATTCTGAAACACTGCAGTAGTTGGTGGAGGTGGCAGGGCAGCTTCCTCGGCTGGGGGTTCTACACCTTCTTCCACCCATCTCTTGAGTTTTTCGTCGTAATAGAATTTGTTCTTTTCACCTAACTTGGCCTTCACCAATGACCAACATAAGATAACATCTTCTCAGAGACTCACTACTTCCAAGTAAAATATAAAGCTCAACTTGACGAACATAAGATAACATCAGAAACTTGGATCTCGAGTAATTGTGTTTCTACTTCCAAGTAAAATATAAGGGACAAGTTACCTGTTTATCTGAGCGGGGCCGTAACACTAGACCCACGGTCTTCTGCAGCAGTTGTGAACCAAAAGCAAAACGACCCAAGCGAGATCCTCCTGTTGAACTAGGCGTCTTGTCTTGGGAAGTGGATGGGGGTCCAGCTGTCGACGAATCAGCCTGGCCCTAGCAATACAGAAATCGGTAATTTTGATGCAGTATGAACAGAGGAAAGAGACAGAAACATCATCAACTGAGAAACCACGCATTTGCCAATTTGGAGACTAAATCACAAACCTGTCTTGGTGTTCTTCCAAAGTCGGGCTCCGAGACACTCCTTGAATGTCTTCCCATTTTATTGCCATCAGCTGCCCATTCGCTTATGGGTTCCATTGAAGCAGACGGTACTAGTGTGGACATAGCCATCGTTGATTGACTAGCAGCGACTCGAGGCGCCATCAGTTGCTGATCATGTTCATGGCTATGTAGACCATGCGATGTTGATGGTGCTGGTGGTGGCAGACCACCAACAACACGGTGTGCGGTGCTATCAAAGAAGTTGAGCAGTTTACCAACTAGCTTTGCTGGTGCCAAGTTTGTAGCATATCCACCCTGAAAGAGAGAGCAATTGGTTAATACACAGTTGGAAGAGAAGACGAAGCACCATTTGGTTCAAAATCACATACCTGTTGATGTATTCTAATCCTTTCTTCAAGGGACGACAATAATTGTTTCCAAGTCTCTATTTCAGGAGCTCGACCAGTTTTCAGAGATTTCGAGACTGCTTGACAGTACCTGAATCAATTCTCGACATTAAGAAAATTGGAGAATGAGAAATGGCAGGTACTTGACAAATACTTTTATCCACTTACTTCAAAGAGTCTGAGACTCTGCCTACTTCAGCCAGCATGTATGCATAAACAAGCTTATATGGCTGAAACGGCTGCAAGATGAACTGGGAGTTACCTAACACCTTAGAGTATTCATAAAGCTCTGTTCTCTGCACATACATTGATCAAATACTTTAATCAAAATCCAGAGTAAGTATACAAACATATCATGAGTCTGCTAAGGATGATTAGCCTTCAAGGAACAAAATAATCAAGCTGAAAATAGACGGAAACAAGAAAAATCAGCAAACCTCTGGCTTAATCCCTAACAGCAAGAACCAGTAAGGAAACAAGGCGGTGATCATATTCAGGGAAATTTCATTGTTTATAAAAATCTAAAGGAAATCCTGGGCCAAAAATTTTACCATCCAGCCTTTTTTTTTTTTTTTTTTTGTGAACCAAGTAGTGATAGAAAAAATTCTCCAAAAGAAGGCAAAATCCACATACGGTATAATAAGCAGATCATGAAGCAGCCTCATAGTTCGACATGCTAGACCCCTTTAGCAAAGCCACATTTCGACAAAGACTTTGCAAACCCCTCTCAAATCAGTACTCAGCTTTGCATGTTCATTAACACAACTCAGTGCGTCACTAATGCATAATAAAATTAGGATACCGGCAGTGTACAGTCACAAGTCAGCTTACAGTCACAAATAACATTATAACAAACAAGAAAATCTAGAATAGCAATTTCCAGTCGAAGAACATGTCCGAAACCCCAAAGAAATTGGCTGCAAGGTCAAGAGAAAAACATGCCAGACAGTCCAGCATAAGAACCTTGCAACTTCATGATAAAATAGGTAAACGTTCCAGACTCAAGTCATCAGATCATGAAACGAATAATGATTTTTGGCCTTCTACTGAAGTTCTCGCATAGAACAGTGAGCTTACAGATAATAACATATCCAGTCCTTTGGGAGACTTAGCATACTTTAATTGGTGAAAACTGAAAAGAAGCTAAATCAATCTAACCTGAATAGCCTCTGGGCTAGCAAAAGTACGAGGATGCTTCCAGTGATCTGCACCAATAAGACACATCCTTGCAGTGTCTGAATATGACTCAAAGTTCGCTTCAGCAACTAAATAGCATATATGTGCTGCTACAATCTGTCCAATCACCTCAAGTAAGATCGAGGAAGAGGAATTTCCAGCTGGTAATGATAGAGTGATTAAGGAAAAACAAACAGTGTACCTCACTTCTATCCTTCCACAGGCAGTCTCCAAGATGTATGATGACAAGCTCATCATCTTTCGTTCTATTTGCAGTTATTAAAGCCAAATTCTGTTCCCAATCATCCAGCATGCTATTTGCTCCAGGCTGTGAGTAATGACCAATAACAGAAAAAAAATACATGTTCAAATGAAATCACTAGACTTTTCACTAGCATTTGCTCACACAGAACCTAGAAAATATCCATATATGGCAAAATGATAAGACAGAAACAGAAGTTCATCAGGTACATGTCCTGGACAACCAAAACCAATTGTGAAA